GCCCACCCCCCCTACCGGTTTTTGGGTTTTCCATTTTGGGGGGCACAAAATTCGGGAACCAGTTTCCATTCCCCGGCCCCCCCGGGAAGGGGGGGGGGGGGTATTCATTTGTTGCTTCCGGTAGTCATCGAACCACGGGCCAAGGGTCCCCTTCAAGCAGAACCACGGCGGCGGGCGGCGGCGGGGCATCGGACGAACGAATGCGTGTGTTGAGTACGCATGAGTCAGATGAACCGCTGAGGTTGTTGTTGTTTCTTGATTCTCGTTGCCTATTCTCTCGTGGTTCGTGCTCTTTCTCTTGTTGCTGTTTGACTTACCTCCGCAACAAGGTACCACCATCTTGCTGCTTGACAATGTTTGCACCCAAGGGTTTCTTTTCCTGACCAAAGCACGATCGACAGCCAGCACTTGGTTTCACCACACCCGTGTGCAGTGCATCCCGAAACTAAATGGTCCCCGACGGTAGATTAGCGAATTTCTAGGGCCACACGCGCGAGAACCGAAGCACTAGATATACAATCCATCTGTGGAGAAAGCCTCACACCCCACCGCACTCGAATTCTCGTTCTTCATGAAAAATAAAAAAATAAACGCTTGAAAAAAAACTGTTCTTAAGTAAAACTCATTTAAAAATAGAAACACTTCAAAACAAAAAACGTCTGTGTTTTTTTCCAGGCGATTCTTCTGCGAGGCAAGGCGAGGAATCGTGACGCAGCTCTTGTTCCACATCCTGGAGGGGTGCGAGGACGACCTGGAGCTAGGGAAGGTGGTGCAAGATTTCTTGTGGTCCTGCTGGAACCTTCACGACAACGAGCAGGTGCAAGCAGACGCTGGCCGGGCTATTTTCCTCTCTCATGTAACAAAATCCAAAATCCATTGCAATTAGGAATGTCCTCGACTCTGCAGGTGGAAAAACATTTCAAGAACAGGGTGTGTATTGTTATTGAGTAATTTATTAGTTTTTCAGTTTTGGGGACGCGATACTCCAGGAGTTCGTTTGTTCTGCTGCTTTTAGTGCTGGTGCTCGTGCCGGTGTGGGTTTGGCATCGCCGATCGCCCTCTCCCGAACCCTCTGACCTCTGACCCCTCGCATGTGCGGCGAAATTAAATCCCTCACGATACACATGCTGCAGCGGTGGTGAGAAGTGAACAAGAAGCTTGTTATTAGTAAAAGAAGCACGATTTATGGGATGTTGGATGAACAAGAACGATTTGACGTTGGTTCTTGCGCGTGCTTGGAAGCGAGCTCCGGGTGCAGAGGACGTACAACAGGGCGGCGTTTTGGCCAAAAAACGGCCGTTGCTTTTGGTTACGTCTTTCCCTCTCAAGAGCACTCTCGCTCGCGTTTGCCTTTTTCTCGGCTGAAGAACTCCGACCCTGAGTCACACCAGCGCTCCCTGCTCGATTCTCCGCCAAAGTATTCCCAACGCTGTTCTCGACAAGACATGTTCTTTACGATGACGACCTCTCTCAGTCGACAGGGTACAACCGTACGGTCCGGGCGGGGCACACGCACAACGTATGGAGCATACGGAAAACCCGGCTGCGATCAACAAACAGCAAGCACTTTTTTTGTTAAAAAGTCTGGCGCTTTTTTCTATCGTGCGCTTGTCAAACTATCTGTAGTCGTCTTGCTGGGTTTGGTGTGTCAACCGCACAGGAGACAGCCTCCGGACGAAGAACACTCGGCAAGACGACAATGATTGCTTTTGGTTTCGCCTCCTGTTGTTGTGAAAGGGGGGTGGGAGATGGAAGGAAGATGTGTCTGGGCGAGTCATTTTCTTATTTTCTCATCACTGTCGGGACTGCCTAGGCTAGCGTATCACCGATATACTCCCACTCTCAACACGCAAGATGCGAAGTACCTTACATTTATTGCTGCCCCGCTCCTCCGGTGTTCATCCGACATGCAGGTGGTGAAGCTGATGAGCGAAGCGACCAAGCTCCAAGAGGCTGGCAGCTTCGACCGTTCAAACGCGGCGGTCGACAAGGTCAGTCGGTCTCAAGAAAGTCTCAAGAAAGTCTCAAGAAAGTCTCAAGAAAGTCTCAAGAAAGTCTCAAGAAAGTCTCAAGAAATGTTATTGTGTTGAGAAGGATGAGCGAGAAAGGCGCCTGAATAAAAACGATAATTGACTCGAATCACCACGTGCCCAGAAACTAACGGTACCATTTGGGATTATGGTGACACTTTGGGTGGATTTAAAGCGCCGTGCCGCCGCCGCCGCCGCTGCTGCTACCGCCGTTGCTGTAGTTCGTACCGTTGTCTTGCACGGCTGAAGTCCTTATTGTTGTCGACGGTGTGTTGACCTCCTAGGCTCGTGCCAATCTTGATGCGAACGCGCTTCATGCGTCAGGTATTGGAGATTGACAGCGGTCACTTCGAAGCTTTGAACTGCAGGGCTACTAACCTGCTCCTCCAGGGTGCTCTTCATGAATCCGTGGCGGGAATCCATAAGGTACGCTACTTGCACACTGCAAGGCAATATATTTAAGGGGACACAAAACACCCCCCCTTCTACTTGCCAACACGAATAGAACCGGTATGAATCAGCTACCGGACCAAAGGCGCGGGGGGGGTGTACTCATAGCCGTGCATGCCGTAGTCGATAGACCATTGACCTCGCATCCCTACAAAGCCGGGACGGAGCACGCCGGGTTCTCACAGGACCAGGCTCTTCCATCACCAAGCGCGAAGCGCCGTGAGGTATTCGGTATCAGGGGAAATATTCAAAACCGAGCCCCCCCCCCTGCCAATGTGTACCAGCGCGTTTCGTCTACCAATGTTTTGGTGGTGTCGTTTTTGTTGCGCTCCACCTCACCTTTGCTTGGAAGAAACGTCGAGAACAATAGTCCTTCTTGACTCTGTCCGCGTTGGCCCCATCCTTAGCCTCGTCTTCGACCTCGATGACTCTCACCCCATCCACGACCAGGTTTTGGAGATGGAGCCGAGGCACTTCGGGGCGTTGAGGGGGCTCGGCCTGCTCCGGATGAACCTCAAGGTGAACGGTGGGATACCTATGGCGGCAGCTACTGTCTGTTTGTCTGCCTGTCTGCCTGTCTGTCTGTCTCTCTGTCTGTCTCTTTGTCCATTGGGAAAAGAACCACACACGCGGTACATGCGAGAGGGAGTTTTGAATATTGACGTCGGGATACAGTGTAGGCACACGCCTGGCGCGGTGTATCACGTCGTAACTTTTCTTTGTTCGTACTCACGGTTACGCGGGAGGGAGAAGTTGGCGTGCTTCGTTATTGCGTGCATATCGTTAAGCCGTCAACAACTCGTGCTTCTTTTTCCCTCTCGATACCGAGTGGTGTTCTGGTCCTACCCGGCCAAGGCAGCCCCTTGTTCACATTGTGCCAAACCATTTGAGTCCTCTGTTCGTGCCGAAAGATTTTCATTTGGAGGTTACCACACGCCCCTTGAGCGTCGCAAGATACCGTAGCCTGTGGTCCTTGATCTTCAGTGCATCTATTATTTCTTTATCTGAGATTTTTTTCTCGTATTGGGTGCATTTTGAGACAATCATAGCACCGTAATCGTTTTCTGCGATGTTGATGAGGGGGGGTGCGGCGTCGCGTTCAGATTTCTGTACATGTGACACGTGGAAACATCGTGGTGGGACCTTATGTCGCGCAAAGTTGGTGTGTTTTGGCGGTAAAGCATCGCTGTCTTTTGAGTTGTATTAGAGTGTTCAGCTCGCACGTGTGCCTGCCCATCCCGCACCCGAACCACGCCACCCGTTTGCCGCTGTGACATGCTGCTTACATCAATCGGTACGTGTGCGTTTGGAAACCAGGATTATTCGGGAGCTCTGGGGGCTTTCGAGTTGACGGCAAAGATCAACCCCATGCTTCTGCCGGGACTGCGGGACAACATGGCGGTTTGCCAGGCGGCGGCGAATGCCATGCTTTCGTGATGGGATGGCTTTGCCGCTCGCAAACGTCCGATGCGTGATTCGAAAAGCCGTTCGGTCGTGGGAGTAGGCCGTCCCTCGACGCCTTGTCGAGGTGGCGCTGGTCTGCTCCCAGCGCCGTCTTTGCTTCACGAACGGGCGCACAATCGTCGCAAGGCATTGATCCAGTCCGGAGGGACCGTATTTTAATTTTATCTGTTGTTGTTGCCGTCGTCGACCTCGGCGCTGTCCTGTCGTGCCTAGACTATTTCACGACCCATGGGGTGTGAAATCACCGTCAGAAAATCGAGGGGAGGAGTTTGGGGCGGGATGTCCTCGACAGTCGTCATCAGATGCCGTCTTCAGCATGACGGGGTAGTCTAGACGGTGAGAGCACGTGTCCTTAACGTTTGCTCCGGGTCCTGTTTGCTAACGAATATTTTAAGGAAGGGGGG